GTGTCTGCTGTCCCCTGAGTCCTGTGATGGTCACTGACGTAGCCCAGACCTCTGTCTTGGAGGGAAGCACCATGTCCATCTTACAGGCTGCTGGCCACACAGACACCATGACGAGACAGTCTGAACAAGGGGCAGTCATTATCTGCTCACTAGGCGCAGAGACCCCCAGTCCCAAGGAGAGGTGTCCCCCACAGGGTGGACCAGAGGGGCTGTAACTGGGGGCTGTCGCAGACCCCTCCTGCAGCCAGGCACAAGGGCCCCCTTGCAGGGGTTCTGGTGGCGCGTCTCCGCAGCCATGCACACTCAGGGACCTTGAGTGCCGGCCGTGAGGGCGTGGCTCCTGCAGGCGCTGGCTGCTTCTGTGGAAGCTCTGTGGGTGCCCATGGGAAGGACGGTGCCTGGCCCTGGGGAAAGGGCTCGGGTGCTGCAGGCCGTGGCGGTATGAGGCTGGGGCTAAGCTGAAGCACTCACTCCCCCCGGAGCAGTGGGTGTGAGGAGCAGGTGGGGGAGTGGGGTAAGAATTGAAGACAGTGAGAAACCCAGCTTGACTGGCAGAGGTGCTGGGCAGAGGGCGGATGAGGAAGGCCGTGGGGGGTTCAGGCTGGGAGAAGGTCCGCCCACCTCCCAGGTCTTTCCAGGTAGGAACCTTCACTACTGCGGACGGGGCCCAGGGAGCTGCCGCGAACCGAGGGGAGGCGCTGGCCACGCTGGAGACGGCCAGCATGGTTGGCGGCCTCAGGGCACAGAACTGGCAGCTGGGGGAAGCAGGGGGGGCTGCGGGAGACGCAGCGATGGGGCTCAGGGCAGCTGGGGGAAGCGGGGCCTGCGGGAGACGCAGTGATGGGCTCAGGTGTGGAGGCCAAGTCTGTTCTCCCGTTCCTTGGGCAGCTGCTGGGGTAGAGTCGTCTTGCTCTTCCATGTTAGAGGGTGTGCGGGTAAGTCCTCAGCTCTGTTTGCTCCTAGGGCCAGTCAAGATGGGGTGGAGTAGGCTGAGAGGCTGCCCAGGGATGCGCCCTCAGCCCCAGGTGCCCCCAGGAGTCTAGGTGAGCTCAGGTGTGCAGGTCCACCCAACACGGAGCTTCTCAGGGTTGGCCCTGACTGCCAAGGAGTCACCTGGCCCTGCGTGCTGACCACCCCGAGGGGCTGGCAGTCATGACCCCCTGGGGCCATGAAACGGGCTGCGTGGAAATTTCACATTCATTGTTTACTGCCAGCAGTACAGGCCCAGCTTCGGGTACTGTGGTATTGTTAATGCCCAGCCTCCATAGTGCACGTTTGCAGGCTCCTGTGATTTTGATTTCCTCCTATCCTCCCTCTTGCTTTCCCATGACTTTGAAGTTTAAGTTTCTCTCTGAGAGGTAGAACGACCTTGGAGGGCAGAGTAACTCATCTGCGACGTGATAAGAACGGTGCAAGATGACCTTCAAGGATTGCCAGGTGCAGAATGTAACCGCTGAAAAAGACTATAATCTTGTCGATATAAAAACTTTCAGCCAGTCTCCAGTGGGCAGACAGGTCTTTTGGAGGAGCTCATTCCCCTCTGTCTCCTGTATATCGATACACAATAAAACACTCTTGCTGCTCACCTCACCCCTGTCTC